GTGTGTGTGCTACACGTGCTTCCTCCGGAATATTCCTAATCCTTAATTGTTGGAGCGACGTGTCCTGCACATAGCGCTAGTGACGTGGCAGCAGCTTGTGCAATACTTGATTGCTAGAATGACTAAGTCCACATTTGGTTATTGAGGCCTCGAGCTCCGTGAGGTCAGAGCTCGGGTATAGTGAGTTCATTCCAAAGGATTCAGATGTTCAGTTTGTTTAGTGGCGATCATTTCTTCATATCCGTTGACTCTCGTTGACTCGTGTTTGTATCCGAGGTCGGATCTTGTACCGAGCTTGGTGTGTTCGAGGTCGGCCTCAAATTTGGTCGTATCCCAGTGATCTGGGAGTAGGGCTGCACAAGAATAACCCGAACCCGAATAACCCGCCCGACCCAACCCTACCTGACCCTAATTAATCAGGTATTTGATTTTTAAAAATATTTATGGGTTAAATATGTTTGAACCCGCACCTAATGGGTAGGGTCGCGGAATTAAAATCTCAAACCCGATAGTACCCGACCCGGCCGAAGTTCATTTTACTATTACTATGCTACAACATTTTCTTGGATAATTTCAATTTAAGACCAATGTGCTCTATCTAGGACTCTATGATATTAGAATTATAATTAAACATTTATCATTTTGACTAGATGATTATTATATATTTACGTTTCCTTCTAAATTAACTTCCTTTACGGAAGGATGTTTTAATACTATTACCTAATTTTGTTTCTTATAAAAGATACGAGTACTTGTATTTGTTTGTGTGTTTTAGAAACAAGTTAATGGAGTTTAAAATTGTTTACATTAATTTCCCACATGAAAAATGCAACCCGAAGTGATTTTTTCCCCCAATACCCGACCCTACCCGACCCGTTCATGTATGGTTTACCAACTTATTTTGCGTACCGCGGGTTGGTTAATAGCCAACCCGAACAAATAGGTTAGGCCCAAAAAATATAGTAAACCCGACCCAACCCGCCCGATGTGCAGCCCTATCTGGGAGCCCGAAGTTTGAGCCGGCTTCGGGGTGTCAAGGTCGGCCTCAGCCATGGTTTCATATTTTGTCGATTTGTGGACTTGTGTTGTGACCGGACCTCGTGCGTCGAGGTCGGCCTTGGCTGGAACTTCGTACTAAATGTTGATACAATTGAAATCCTTGTCCATTGATTATGATACCCCTGGGGTATATGGGAGTATACTCCATCAATAACATTTATTGCATCACATTCCAAATTTAATTTCATGTGATGAGATTACCCCAAAACTAAACTGGCCCTATGTGCAGAGTGATAGGACTAGCATCAATCTCGTTAACCTTTCTACGAGTGTCAATCTCGAGTCAAGCGTCGAATCATTATACTAGAGGATTGGGTCGGATCTTGTGGACGGCAGTATCCCTGACCACCCTCTTGGCATGAGATCATGAGGTCATAGTCTCAATCGACTTCTCCAGGTGCATCGAGGGGGCGCAGTTAGTTTGCATTCTCATTTTTTCCTGTTTGTTCTGAAGACTGGTTTTTTATAGATGAAGAAAGTTTAAAGTTTATTATAATTTCTCTTAACAAGAGCATCAAATGACTACTACACGGGAATACCATTAACAATATCTATGAAGAAGGCGGAACTAATAACTTAGAGAGAAGAGAAAATTGTGTTAACTAATGTCCGACCGTCACATCTATCCAATACAGGCTATTTCATTAGTCATAAATCTTAAATTCATTCATTGCACATACACGTGCAAGCTAATATGTAGGGTGAAACTTTGAAGTAGGGCACAATCGGGCATATGTCGGGGCATTAAAATGTGTTTGCTAATGACTAGAGGAGGAGGGGGCGAGAGTTCACCTAGAGGACAAAGACTTTTGGATCCGGTTTATCAGTACTCCAGCCTGCATGTTGTTGCAGCCCTCAGTTGTATGACGACTCATCCAAGGGGTTGTTGGTCTTCCATTTGGCTTTAGCGGGTTATTGGGCGTGTTCCAGTGTGGTGGAACTGTGGATCGAGCTTTGAGAATAATATGCCCCGTCAGTACTTATAACTCATATTTTGGAAGTTAAAACACGTGAACCTAGCTATTTTTGGTTTTGATAAATGTTTAAGAAGGGTTTTCCTAAAATATCATTGAAATTTAGTAAATTTAAGGATAGAAATGTGACTAAGGTATAAGTCCATGATTACAACATTATGATAAGTGTCATGTAAAATTAAACACAATAATAGTTACTAAAATTTACTAATGCATTGAATTTGTATAAAAGATCTCATTTTTTGTCCATCATCTCAATCTTAATAATATATTTGTCATTAACTCCTATTTGGCATATAATATCACTGAAATGCACAGGGAAAAAATTAATGCTGGCTGACTGGGATGGTGGGGTTGAATGAGACAACGACATTGTGAAATCTTATTCTAATGTTGTGGATCCTTATGTGAATCATGCCCTAACGCATTCTATATGTTGCACGGAGACGAAGACGTCGATACGCTGATACACGAATACGAGTACGGCAACTGCGATAATTATAGGACACAAATATAATTTGCAAATATATACAATCAATAGGTTTTTTATCATAAAAGAGTGGCCGTTATATTAAAATCAAGAACACATACAAGACAACTTTCAGATAGAAATTGCAGATCCAATCGTGAACCCTATGAGTAGACTTAGAGTCAGCCACCTCATACAAAGTAACATGACTCGCTAAACCTGAAACGGGCAAACTTAGGCCTAAAACGATTAGAACCTAAACCTTGTCTATCAAAAGGACTCCAAAAATCCAAACATTCAACCCAAATCTACTCGGACTTAAACATAAATAAGTGTTACTAAAGAAAAAATAATACTGAAATACAATCTTTCCACAAAGCTCTTCCTGGTATGGAGGTGGTTCCAGAGGAGGACGAGCTCTTACAATATGGGTGAATACCAATTGCACCACCGTCGGAATGGCTGACCAAGGCTTCATGATCCCTCCTCGATACAACCTTCCTGCCGCACCTCATTCATCCGCCAACGCTATCTCCTCCGACGTAGTTGCAACCACAAATGTTAGAACACTTAAAATCAATATAATATGTCGCTCCAACCCCATATTGACAGGGGCGGCGAAAAATCTCAACTCCTACAAAAAAGGGAGACGACCGCTAGGGTTCCTCTCTCGCGAGAGAGAAGAGAGAACCGTATGAATGGAAACAAATCAACAATCATACTAAAATTTCAAATCATTTCATTTTCATTTACCCATTGCCGCAAAGGCTTCTACCTACGGTGGGGTAAGGGGGGTCGGATGTACGCAGTCTTACCTCTGTACTAAAGTACAGAGAGACTGTTTCCGGATGACCCATAGACTAAAATTTCAAAGATTGGACAAAAAAATAAAACTAAAATACTAATACTTCAATATAAATTTAAATAACATATGATTCTCTATCGTGACACATACAAAAAATATAATTGTTTGTAAACAAACATCGGTTTTGTACCATACACACTATCATCTCAACAAAAAAGGCACAAAACCGATGTCTACACACAAACAATTTTTTGACGATGGTCTAACTCCACATACAATTTTATAAGATGACTAACAATAATTTCGACAACTTTTCATCTCCGATTTGTTTCTGGTGAGTTTTAGTTATAGTTTTCAATTTTATTTCTTCATACAGACACAATTTATCAACCTTTAGAAAGTCACAGACGATTTTTATATATTACGGAGTATATACACAATAATTCTGATGATTGTTTAGTTCCAATTTGGTTCCCAAGCGACCGTCCATCTTCGACGAATCTAAAAATGAAAAATGAAGTGGGAAAAATGAAAAATGATGAAGATGAAAATGATAAAGATGGTAGATGGTGAAGGGGATTAAAGATGACACAAGATGATAAAAATGGAAGGAAGGGGGGGGGGGGGGGCTGTAGCAGAGGGGCAGGGAAAAGGGAGAAGACACGTTTTTTTGGGTACATATAGTGGATATAAAGTGAGCAAAATTAATCTAATATAGTGAGATTTTTTCATGTCTCAACGTCAGCGGGACGAATGATGGTTGAAGGTGTGAGGCCGAATGTTGGTGGCCTGGTTCTCGTTGTCTGGCAGTATGAAGGATGCTTTTTATTCTGCTTTGTTTTCTGTTTAGTTAAATTTAGAGTTTGTTGTTGGTTTTGTTTTTGGTTTAATGTTCTGTTTTGTAAAACATTGATTTTGAATGTGGGAGATGAGAGGAACTTGGTAATCGAGTTAGGCTTATTGTTTCTCGGTTATGGATCAACAAATTATATTGTTTCGATGATTATTCCGAGTCTGGTTCGAGAGATGACGGTTATCAATTTTCGTTTTGTCAGTTGACCCATATTCTGAACTTTTATTGTTTATTTATATAAGCCGATTTGCTTCAAAAAAAATGTCAGCGGGACCAATGTAATAATACATAATTCATTTGTTTCTCATTCTTTGTTATTTCTTTTGCTTCTCGCAAACTTTGCATCTTTTATACTTCCTCCGTATTTTAAAGTTTCTTACACTTTCTTTTTTGGGATGTATTTAAAAGTTTCCTACATTTTCATTTTTGGTAAATTTACTCTTTATAAAATACTCAACTACTATTACTTTATCTACTTTTTATATTCTCTTTCATACTTTTACACACTCTCTCCTACTTTTTGTACACTATTTACTACCCTTACTATTATATCCTAAAATCTTATGTCTAAAGCTAGTGTAGAGATCATTTAAATACGGAGGCAGTACAACATTACTACCATTATTGTCGATCGGGCCAGTTTGGCAGTTTCAAGGCCGGGTGGCCGGGTTTGGCTTAAACCGCGCGGCCCGGGCCAGTTCCAATAACATAGGCCGTGGAGGCCCAATTTATCAAATCAAAGTTAGAAAAGAAAGTACACGCATGCGCATGTACGGACTCTTTAAAAAATCGATCATTTTCCCGCGCGCGCGAAATCGAAACCTCCTCGTATCTACTTTCAAGTTCCCGCCATTGCTACCCTATTGCACATGTACATCACTGCACCGTTGACTCAGCAAGGCAGAGAGCATCCTCCACCAACCAGAAGACGCCGCCGCCTACCGCGCTCTGCCCAAACCCGTCAGTCCGCCAAACGCCGCCCGCCCGCCTGCTGCACTGCCGCAGTGCCGCACCGACACGTCCTATAAATCCCCCAATACCCGTCACTATTCATCAAGTCCAGTCGGAAATGGATCTCTTTGCCAAAAAGCTCGGCCTCTCTGAGAACAAGATGCTCATCCGTAAAGCTGCTGAGCTCCGACGTCAGGCCGATATCCAATTCGATTCATCCGTTATCGGCGTTGTAAGTAAAATATGTGCAGGATCAGTGGCTTCCCCTCTTAATTGTACACAAATTGCATTCATGCTTGACTCTAATTGTGCTGATTATTGTTTCTTTTTTATTTTACAGGGTGAAGTATGCAAAGCGATCATCTGCCTTGAAATCGCCGCTTCTGGGTATGTTTGTGCATTAAAACCTTATAGAAGTGTTCTTCTATAGAAATATGTATATGATTCGAGTCAGATTTTCTTCCTGCAAATTGATGATTGAGTTACATAGTATGTATTTGTGATAATGTTCGATCTGGGGCATGTTTTTGTAATAATGTTTAAACTTCTCCTATGAATGTAGGATGGGTGTGATATTTGATCGGCAGGCTGCAATCAAATTGAGTGGAATGACAGAAAAGGCTTACAATAGATCATTCAATTCATTGCAGAACGGCATTGGAGTCAAGTAAGTTCTTGAAAACCGTTCCTTCTTCTTCTGAATTCTGTTTATTGCTAATGTTGTCTAAGTTGTGTAAAAGGTTTCCTTTTCGTGCAGGAGTAAGCTTGATATTCGCGAATTGGCAATTCAGTTTGGGTGCATTAGGCTGATACCTATAGTTCAGAAAGGTCTAGCACTGTAAGTAATGTTATGCGATGATGCATTTGGTTTTACACTTCTTATTCTTTTCTACACTACTTATTCTTTTTGTTCACTCTAAGAGTCACGTCTTAGACAGATGTGCTAGTCAATCCTATTCAATTAAGCTTGAAATTCTGATATTATTAATGAACTTGAGCCATGGACTTAGATTTAGGTCAACAAGAAAATGAAGTCCTAACCTATCAGGAATACGAAATTGACTATAATAGAAACCCAATAATAATATGAAACTATTGTTCAGAAGGGTACAGCACTGAAAGTAATTTTATGAAATGATGCATTTGATTTTACACTTCCTATTATTTTTGTTCACTCTAAGAGTCTCGTCTTAGATAGAAGCCCTAGATAATTCAGCTTTGTCAGTCCAATTCAATCAAGCTTGAAATTATCTGATATTATTAATGAAGGTAAACCCTGGACTTAGATTTAGGTGAACAAGGAAATGAAGTCCTAACATATCAGGAATACAATATTGTTGCTAGGAATATTGACTATAATAGAAACCTAATAGTAATATGGAACTATTACCAATACTAGTAATAGGAAGCAGTGACTGATTTGACTAATTAATAGTTTGAAGGATTCTTGAGCGGATCCACTAGGCCTATCGCATTATAATGTTCTATAAGTACTTAAAGACCAAGTGTATCGAGATTCGAGATTAGTAAAATATGAACTTTACTGTGCATGGTCTATTACTACGTATTAATAAGTGTTTAATTACATTTATGTTTTGAACCTGAATCACCAGTGGCCTTATTTGAGCAAGTTCATTGCAACCAAGTTGCATTTGGATTGGAAATTTATTGACGTAGGCAAATTATTGTAACATTGTGGGATTAGAATAACTGAAATGTTGTTTGTTTCAGATACAAAGACCGTTTTGTTACTTCACTGCCGCCTTCGCGTAGGCTAAGTGCAGATTTCTCTAGGCCTGTCTTTACTGCTGTAGCATTTTATTTGGGTGCCAAAAAGCACAAGGTATTGCATAGTGTAATCTGCTGTTTGTGTATTGAAGAAAATTTTGCCATTAATCAGCAGAAATGTCTAATTTTCAATTTCCCATTTGTTTTTAGTTGAAGGTGGACAAGGTTAAGTTAATTGAGATCTGTGGTACTTCAGATTCTGAATTTGCAAGTGTATGCATCTTTTCACTTCTGACTGCATTACTGTTTAGTTCAGCACCATTCTGTGTGCTTATTCAATAAATGTTGTTGCAGGTTTCTACATCCATGAAGGACTTGTGCTTTGATGTTTTTGGGATATCAAAGGAAAAGAAAGATGCCAAAGAAATCCAAGGCAACCGAGGTAATGTCCAATCCTTAACAAGCACTTTTCCATGCATGGAATGTCAAAAGGATTGCAAGATGGGTACAGTAGTTTATCATGTTTTGCCTTGTTCGTGCAGAGCTGCTTGATGCTTTGCCTGAGAAGAGAAAGATAGAGGATGGTGGCTATTCATCTGATGAGGATCAGGTTATAAACATAGCTTCAATGTTTTTGAGTTTATACCTGATTCCGTCACTTCAGTATACACTAATACTTACGCTAGCCATTAACTTTGTTGGGGACTCACTTTAGCCATGAACTAAAACTTGGAACCAATATAGTAATCATACATATTTGCCTATTTGGTTAAATATGTGGTGATTAAATTGCTCCATTAAACTTGGTTGATCCATTAAGAGCTAAATATGCTTCCTGATTAAATTGAAGTCAAGGACCAAATTAAGTCCAACATGCAAGGATCAATTGAGTAATAGTGTATAGTTGAGAGACGAAATTGGGTATTAACCCTTTTTCTATCAATTGGTTTTAGTATTGGTTCAATGCAGAATAGCAGTTCTAACATTTTGCGGTCAATGCATCTAAAAATCTATTTATGCATCAATTGACTAGATGATGCAGTGCAGTTTTGTTAATGTCTATATCTCTATGGTAGTTCTTGAATTTGCTATGTCTCCAATGTTTTCAGTCTTGCTACAAGAGGCAAAAACTAATGCACAAACAAGAATATGAGAAGTGGAAATCTACGGTTGTGAACTCCAACCATCCCTGCAAATCTAAAGGTAGGCTGTCAATACACTTGAGTGTTCACATTATGTTGAAGCCATACTGTGATATATTTTCTTTTAATTAACTAATGTCATCTTCATGTTTGTAATCTCTAGCTCCGTTGAAGCGCACCAAACAAGCCCGGCTAAACTTCCCGAAAAAGGTTTCAGAAACAGAAGTAGACGTGGCATGACACACACGCAACATGCTTGTAAGAATTGTCGAATGGTGTTAGCATTTTACCATGGCTAGGAACACGAGCCAAAAAGATCAAGGATAATGTTTTCCATAAATTATTGTTAGTTGACATCTGAGGTGGGGCTGAAAATGCTTACTGGTTTTACTGTCTACACAACAGCAGTTTTGTTTTTGGTATATGAGTATATGATTGAGTACGATTTATGCTCAAGGTGCTCAAATGGAATCAAAATATTGTGTGTTGAAATATAACATGGTAGAGTAATTTTAAACATTAATCGAACAAACTAAACTAGTTAAGGAAAGAATAAAATATTCCCCACTAAATCATGGAGGGGAAAAGCACATATATAAAGGGTAGCCTCTTGGAGGATGCTTATATAACTTAAAGCTTTGGTGAATTCAGCCAACCCTGGACCCTAATATAGAAACGGTTTGCTTATTTTTGCCTTGCTATTTCTGTCTTACTTCTGAGCTTCATTTTTATGTTTGATTGAATAACTTAACATCATTTAGGATTTAGCTGTTGACATTTGCCCCCCAAAACTAGTGCTGTTATTCGATTCCAATAAGGTCTGGCCCGAGCTTGGGTGTTTAAGAATTCAATCTCAAAACCGAAGTTGAGTTAAGCTTGTTTGAGTGATATTTACACCTTAGGTTGGACTTCAAATTGAGTTTTAAACTGAATTCAGCTTGTATAGTTTACGGTTTGATAATTAAATCAAGCTGAACTTGAGCATTAGCATGTTGACCCCAACTTGTGGTCGAGTCATATTTCTGTCGTATAAAACTCTACCCAAAAGGTACCATCTTTTGTACTATGCTAGCACCTATAAGTTTGAGCTTGAACAATTTAAAGCTCCTTGAACTCAGTTCCAACTCGGTCAAGTAAAAAAGTTATACTTGAACTTGATTTTAAAGCTCACACAAGAAACCGCTTACTCAACTCAAGAAACTTGAATTGTGTAGAAGCCTTGTCAAGTATGAAAATACTCAACTTTTTAGCTATGCACCCATGTATTTACTCGAATAAGCTCGTCAAGTAAAAAAACTAGACTTGAAATTGATTGGAAAGTTCATGCGAGAAACCTCATACCCAACTCAATTGTGTGCCGGTCTTGTCAAGTATGAAATCAATTTTAGCTTGAACTAGACTCGTGAGTCCTTTCTTGTAACTTGAAATCAATTTTAGCTTGATTCATGTCAAGTCTAACATAAGTGACTTGGAGAATACTTAATAGTTAATCTCATGCACCTAGTGCTGGACTCGGGCCGGGCGGCCCGGCCCGGAACCGGCCCGGCCCGGTTACTGTTTGGCCCGGCCCGGCCCGGGGCCCGGTGGGTCCCTCGGTTCGGTTCGGCCCGGCCCGGCTGCTGGGCGGTTCGGGCCCGGGCCCAGGTTTTGGTGAACCGGCCCGGCCGGTTCGGGCCCGGTCCGGGCCGGATTTTAATTTTTTTTTTTTTTTTTTGAAATTTTTTAAGTTTTAGGTTGGATTAGGTATTTTGGGCCATTTGAGGTGGTTTGGGATGGTTTGGGGTTAAGGGGGAGGGGTAGGGGATTAAATAAGAGAACAAAAAAAAAAAAAATTATTGGGCCGGTTCGGCCCGGCCCGGCCCGGTTTGGCCCGGAACCGGGACCGGAACCGGCCACCGGCGGTTCGGGCTCGGGCCTCCCTTTCCTGGCCCGAGGCCCGGCCGGGCCCAGACCCGAACCGGGCCCGAACCGGCCCGAGTCCAGGCATACATGCACCCCTACACATTTATAAAGTGCTCATCTATCAAAGTCCCAAAGCATGGGAAATCACCTCTATTTGTTACGTTGTCTATATTTCTTTCTTTGTAGCTCGAAAGATGGCATATAAAGTTGATTCACTCACACTGGGACATCATACATGAGTTTGATTTTGAGAATGATAGAACTGTTCTATTAAAGTTTTAGCGTTGAGACCTCACTTTAGGTATTCTCTACTAGAAGTAACGAGTATTACGCTCTGACACCACATTCACACCACATGTTATTGTTTGTCTGTGACAAACACATACGTAGTATTTTTTGTTCGAACAAAAAAAAACGATTCTCTTCACAAGCGAAAAACATTGTCCGCACGTAAATAATTTGACTAACGTATAAAATGTCTGTGTACAATTTGATAGTGTACAAACAAAGTTTCCATAAAATACTCTCCCCTCTCATTGAAAAGTTCTCACTTTTCTTTTTTGGGCGTCCCATATAAAGGTTTTCATTTCTATTTTATGAAACAATTTACAATTTTAAATGACAATTTTATCATTAAATATTAAAAATATTACATTTATAATATCACAATTAGCTATAGTAACCACATTATATTACATATCTATTGAAATTATTTCTCAAAATATAATCAAATTACTTTATTTAATTATTGTCTAAATAATTGTCCTGTTTTGGATGGAGGCACTAACATAAAAAAAATTCCTACGTACTCCGTATTTTTTCTCCCTTAGACTAGTTGCAATCTTGGAGTTTAGGAAAAAGTTCATGTTTTCACTTTTCACCCTAAATTCTTGTACAATCAATGATATCGGAAAGGGGGAAAGTAAATGACTACAACTTAGAGTGTGGAATAATCAACTCATTTTTCACTCCCAAGAGAGAGAAGAAAAAACAAAGAGGGAGATGAGCCCCATTTTAATTATTATTATTATTTTATTCAAACTCATATAAATTTTTTTATTTGTATTCCTATTTTTACAAAAAATATATATTAAAGTTCATAATTTTTTATTACCTTTCATATGAAACCAATATTACCTATATAATTTCTTTAAAAAATGGATGGGTGAATTAGTGAATATATTGACAGTGTTGGATTGCATGAAAAAATTGGATTGACGTAGTGAATACACCAATTTGGTACAAATTGATTGGGGATTTAATTTATTCATGGAGTAAGGTTGCAGATAGTCTTATGTCCATTCCTTTTTATTACTGAGTACTATGCACAAAATAAATAAATATAATAAATAAAACCGACCTCCATGGCTCCATGTAGAGCTTGAGATCCATAAAACCTAAATGGTACTCCGTATTTGACATCCAGCTTTAAAACGTGTTTGTTTGAGAGTTAATCTAGGTTATTGCATGTTTAATTAATTTTTAGTTAACCTCGTTTGTTTGTGTTTTTGCAACAACAACCTAGGTTATGACTTAACTTCACATAACTCCCGAGAACCTGGAAACAACTCAAATTGCAGAACCTCCGAAGTGGAGGGTTTTGAAGGTTAAGTTCCCGTCCAACATAAAATAAGCTATAGTACATTCATCCAAACAACATTTATTACATTAACCTAGATTCACCTTATTTATTTTCAAACATTATTTTAGGCATGAACCTAGGTTCCCTTAGATTAACCTAGTTTTTATTAAAGCTTAAATTTACTTTATTGCGCTAGATTTAGTTAAGTGCACTTTATTCAAAAAGAGCATAGTAAACTTTCATATTCATTTTTCTCTTACTTCGTATATTGCATGTATACCATTGGTCTAGCGTATGTCCTTAGATTTTATTTCATTTCAATCAAATACTCTGAATTCTGAACCCTAGCTCCGAGTAAAAGAAAATAATTAAATTAGGAGGATAGTGTAGAGGGAGAAGGAGTGATTGAGATGGGGGATAGTGTGAGTGGAGGATATGTATCGGATGAAATGCTGGGAACGTTTGCGCCGATAGTGGTGTATTGGTTGTACTCCGGATTCTATTCCTTGCTGGGAGGTTTTGAGAATTACAGGTTGCATTCAAAGAAAGATGAAGATGAGAAGAATTTAATCACTAAGAAGGAAGTTGTCAAAGGTGTAATCCTCCAACAGGCTGTGCAGGCCATTGTGGCCACTATCCTCTTTGCGGTGAGCTTCTGCTATTGAATGAATTTGATGATAGCTTTTTAGGTGCTCTGCTGAAATTATTATGGTTTTAATGCAAAAGGGTCCTTTATTTTAATTTCTCTTTTGTATGCATACTTGATTTCTCTCAAGTATGTGCTGCTGTGTTGTGTTTTAATGTTGAGTACAGGCTGTGTTCTGATTGATAACACTTATATTGGAAAAATATGCTTTAAGAAGAAATTAAATCATGATGTGACATCTTTCCTTTTTGTTTAGACCTATTCCAAGGTCCAAGGAGTTAGGAAGATGGTGGATTAGATATTACACTATTTAAGTTTACCCTTGCGTTGTATGGATAACTTGCTTTCCTTGTATCAACTATGTAGCCATAGTTGAGGGTAATATAAAACCCAAGCCTACTGATTTAAGGAACATCAACTTGCACCCGAAGAACACTAGTTGCTTTTTTTATATATAGGTGTATTTTAATCGACTTGATACACAAGGATGGATTCATGGGGCGACCGCCTCTTTGCAGTTTGAAAAAAACAGTATACATAATATTTTTCAGTGTTTTATACCTCAATAGAATATTAGATATATTGATGCTCTTCTGAGTTTTTAATTTCTAAAATTACTTCTAAACCTTTAAATATGACTTTCTATAAGTTGTAACATTTTAATGAAAAACAAACTAAAATGGTCTGGTTTAGTCTATGTTTTCCTCATGAACATAAAAGTTATAAATTTCTTGATTTAAAGAAAAATAATAATAGTTTTTTTTTTATATTTAAGCAATATCTATTAAATCTATAATTATAGAATGCTATGTTTAGTAAGATTATCCTTATAAAATACTCCGTAAAAAGTTGCATGATTTTGTAAAATACAATGCAATACCTCAAAATTTCATAGAAAACATTTAAGCAGTTCTTTGATAAAGTTCAAATAGAGATTCTCCTATATGGAGCATATGTGACTTAAATTAGAGATTTAATTTATTTAGTTTCAGAACTATTTTAAAAAGAACCCTATTCGATGCTCCACCCGTCTCATTTCAACGTTCGTGGTTCTGTTTACGATAAGTGACTGATGATAATGTTAACTATCTCCTAATATTAGTATCAATAATTAAAATCTACATACTCAGAAACCATGGTAGAACTTCTATAACATCTCCCAAATCAAATTCAAATTTGATAAAAGTAATTTTCAATCTGATGTTTTTGATTGGATTGAAATTTTCTATTATGTTCAATCTGCTCTGTTTAAGTCTAGTTTAGTTTGTACATGGTGTGTGTATTTTGCTATTTTCTAAGTCCAGTCTAGCTTTTATTGGTTAAGTGTGGTTCGGTTTAGTCAAGGATTGAAATTAGTCCAATTCTCCAATTAAAAACATTCTGAATTTGACTAGTTTCAGTCCCGGACCAAACCAGATAGGATCAGACTTAAATTGACCAGCTTAGACCAGGCTTAGACAATAGTAACATAAACATACAACAGCTAGATCCGAACATACTTCAACAAATTAGTCGAAACTAGGCTAGACTTAAACAAGCCACATCACAACCGAAAATTTCAGTCCAATTAAAACATCCTAAAAGAGCATTAAATGAGTTGAATGTGTGAATGGTATAAGAGAACCTTAAACTAAGATCGCATGAGTAACTATGAAACTCAAAGATTCTAGAATTAACACACATACTATATACACATATTACATAATCTAACAATATTTATAGAAATAGAACATGACCTTAAATTCAAAATAAATAACTTCATACACGTGCACTATTATAAAATTACGAACACATTTCTTGGACTACAAGCATTCAAGTTATCCAAAAAATGTCACTTAGGAATTTGATTCTTCAATCTATCAAGATTTATTTAGTTAAATAAGGCAAAAGTTATTTAACAGAATAACATGTGGATGTCAACTTATTCAATCACATTTATCTTTAAAATACATTCATAACCTTCCATCCAATTTTTTGCAATCAAATTTTTTCCATCATTAGCAATGGAGTCAAAGATTCATTATTTTTGGCTTGAGAATATGATGGAATAAAGCAAAATGGCTCACTAAACTGTCTGCGCTTCTTTGTTATGAAGTAGCAGTCAGTCCATGCAATTTGGACGCGATTTTCACTATGGGTCATCCGGAAACAGTCTCTCCCTGCTTTAGTACAGGGGTAAGACTGCGTACATCTGACCCCCCTTACCCCACCATAGGTGGGAGCCTTTGCGGAACTAGGGTAAATGAAAATGATGAAAATCAATTTTCATCATTTTGTTCTCAAAAGTCAATTTTAAGTTCTCTTTATTTGTAAAAGTTAACTTTGTATGTTTTTAAATACAAAATGTTAAATAGAGATATTTTATATATCATAATTATTTGCTATTAATTTTTTTAAAAGTAGCATTATGAAAAAAATTGCTCCCATGAACAAAAATCCTGGATCCGTTGATACTTCCTCTCGTCTTTATTTGTTGCAACAACTTGACTTTATGCCCTATTGACACACCGTGGTGTGACCATACTTATCAATATTATAGAAAAAACCGTTTTCATTTAAAGTATCATGGAATTTGTCACAATGTAATAATGTATATTTTTTATAATATTGCTAGTATTTGATACTTTAGTTAAATATATTAATGGTCAAAGTCGTGTGCTTAAAATTTAGAAATATGAAAGTCAAATTGTTGCAACTATAAAGTAATTGATGAATTTAACACATCAAGTATTTTTTTTGTTAGTTTTTTTATGGTTTGCCAATATCAGGCAGAGTTGTTTACTCTCCAGGGCAGTGATATGCCATCTGTGGCTAATACAGTAATACCTTGTGCTTACCAGTTACCAGCGCATTCATAAAAAGACATTTTTGAAGGATAATGCTAGGACATGCTTATGTTCAGTGATCTAATACTGTTTTTTTTTTTTTACCGGAGAGGATATGCTGTTTTTTGTTGGTTCATATGATATGTTTGCTTTGTCCCTTTAATGACATGACTTTTCCTAAATGTTCTCTCTTTTTTGCGTGCACTGGCAGGGAGGTTTGTTGGTTTACTTTTTATATATGGAATTAAAAAGGAAAAAGGGCTTTATAGAAGCAGCTGAGATTTAGGAAAGAGCATTAGATTTTAAAAAAATCATTTATGGAAGTATTTAAAAAAATCATTTTAGGACATCGAGCAAGTATTAATAAATACTACATGATAAATTTCTTAAACAGTTAAAAGAAATATGGGTCAACTAAAAAAAATATGGACAGGCATTTAGGCAATTCTACCATTGGTCACTTTGCGACTTTGAGTGAATTCCACCCTTGGTCACTTTGCATAACTACATAAGTGAGGTAATGATCTTCATTCTTTGTGGGCTTAATTATTGGTTACAGAAAAACATCTTTCTCTAGCAATTCACTCAGTTTTTAAAATTAGTATCAGCCAGTCTCATCATATTGCGAATGCAGCTGAACGACTAGTTAGTCTTCTCCATTTTTCAGTTACTCATGCGGTTTTACTGTATTTTTGAGTGGTCCATATCTCCATGACATTGATTCTCTTCACCTTTGCATTACTTTGCTATTGCAATTGAAAAGGTTATTTAAAAATAAATCAATTTGAAAAATGATAAAAATATCAACTCGAGCTATTTCAGCAAAAAAAAAAAAACTGTTTCGTTATAAACCAGTTAAGCCAGCATAGTGAAATCAAAACGAATCGGGTGGTTAGACACCTAGGCATAGGCCTAGGGCACCAGTATTATGTGGTGCTGTGAAATAAGTGAGTTAGTGGTTAACAGAACTGGCTGATATAACAAATGGGGCATCTAATATGAAACTTAAACTATCTATGAATTAATTTTTTCTAGTGAAGCTGTGTTTTCTTAGTTTGGACTGTTATGCATCACATAGAGTAGTCTTGCACCCTTGTCAGTTTGTCAATCATCTTTTTTGTGTGCTCTGTTTTGGTTCTGATTTTCTTGGCATACATCTGATTTTCTGCACAGGTCACCACAAATGAAAGTGAGGCTGCTGTAGATCAACAACAAACATCTGTTCTTGTTCTTATAAGGCAATTTATCATTGCTATGGTGGTACTAGACACGTGGCAATATTTCATGCACAGATACATGCATCAAAACAAGTTTCTTTACCGTCAAATCCATTCTCAGCACCACCGGCTTGTTGTACCCTATGCTTTCGGAGCTCTGTACAACCACCCCATTGAGGGTCTCATCCTAGACACTGTTGGCGGGGCCATGGCTTTTCTTGCCTCGGGCATGTCTCCAAGGGTTTCCATCTTCTTCTTCTCCTTTGCCACCATTAAAACAGTTGATGATCACTGTGGGCTGCTGTTGCCTGGGAACCTTTTTCATATCTTTTTTAAGAACAACTCAGCTTATCATGACATTCATCACCAGTTTTATGGAAGCAAATATAACTTCTCACAACCTTTCTTTGTGACGTGGGACCGAATCCTTGGGACCTACATGCCCTACAAACTTGAGCAAAGAGATGATGGCGGCGGTTTTGAAGCTAGGCCCACTAAGGATTGCAAGGATGATTGACGAAAAAAACTGCAGTTGTAATGGTTTGTTACTTTGTTGCACTTTGATGTCATTTTCTGTTTGTATATACACAGAATATGTTTGCATATATTGTTGTATAATTAGTGGCGCTCTTTAATGTGTAAGATCATGTTCAGTTATTATTTCTTGCTTAGCATTTAATTTTCCCCCCTTTCTCATTGCAGCAAGTTCGACTGCTATTAAATACGGAGTATTTTATTATGGATTCTATGAGTTATAAACTAGTTTAGATGTTCTATTACTGGGTCTGATTTTACAATTTACATATAAGCATGTCTATAAGGAGGTTTATATAATGTTTGCATTTGCTGATGTTGGTGATAATGTGATTTACTTTTGAGAGTTTGAGATCAGACATTAACCAGACCAGGTGAGTTCAGACCAGATCAGACCAATTCAGACCTATACAATTGTTGTTTGGTTTACTCAACCGTAGAAGTGATATTTTAGGGCTCACTTCTTTATTGTTAAAGAAAAATACTCCGTAATTAGTTAATTAATTTTGTAAAACTCATTCAATTTTAAAAATATAAACAGACAAATCGTAAAAATGTCCAATAGACAAACAACTTCAACTGTTAAAATAAAATATCAAAAAATTAAAAGTATAAAGCTAATTTTAAATTTTCTAAAAATGTAGAATATACAAAAACGTCCAGGGAAAATATAGATTTTGACATTTTAAGTTTTTAACCTTTCTTACAGTTTTTTCTAGAACATTACCACTTTCTTGAACTTTTTTCAAAAACAAATTGCTATAGTGAGTCAAAAATCAGTAAAATGACTGGAAGTATAGAGACTTAAATAATGTAAGTGAAATATTATAAGTGTGTATTTGAACTATCTGTGTAACTTTTTTGTTCAAGTATTAGAGGGTGAACTGTGAAGTAGCTAACACATGATTCGTAAGACAATGCTTATAAGAAAATCCCCCTTACATATTCAACGAGGTAAGGGTCAGATTGGTACTCGAAGTTGCATAAAAAGGGTCAAATAAGTCCTTATATAGGAGGCTCTGTCAGGCAGTCGTCATTCGGGGCGGTTCCCGGTGGAATTTTTTGATGAATTGTTTTTGAGCATCTTATTCATCAAGTCTAGTTTACTCATTCCAAATTTCAGCTAAAACTTCAATCGGGAAGGCATTAAAATGAATTCTTGAAGATAACTGCGCAGTCACCTTCAAAATTTCATTTGAACGCCTTCCCTGTTGAATTTGTAGTTGAAATTTGGTATGAATAAACTAGACTTAATGAATAAGATGCTCAAAAACAATTCATCAAAAAATTCCACCGGGAACCGCCCCGAATGACGACTGCCTGACAGAGCCTCCTATATAAGGACTTATTTGACCCTTTTTATGCAACTTCGAGTACCAATCTGACCCTTACCTCCCTATTCAACCACATGAGGGTTATTTGTGATTTCTGTTGATATTATATTCTTTACCATGAAAGGACTTGTATGGATCTGTTTTTTTCATCTTCCTTTGTATTTGACTTCTCCATACATGACATGATTCGTGCTCGTCCTTTCATCCATGTGATAGGAGGCCAAATAGAGTGTCATCTACCACTTTCAAAGTGTGGACATGTGCTAATTAATAAACAAAAAAGGACTTGTCTTACACAGTAAAAAGTGTTTTCCTTAAATCGAAGTACTTCTTTTTCTAGATATGAGTAAATATCATCATCTAGTAATCATATTGACGTTATGAATTTATGAGATCATACTGTTCACTGCTGTCTTTTTAATAATATTGATAATGTTATTATATAGTACTCGTGTTAGAGAAGATGCCCTAGCTCTTAAATAGTTAAATCAAAACGATGAAGGCTTTCTACCTACCATGTTTTGTGATAAGAAATTTGTGAGTCTTAGGAAACCAGGAAGCTACATCACAAGACAGTCTTAGGTAACAGAGCTTTCAGAACCAATGGGTTGTGTCCCCAACAATCATTTCCAAATTCATTTCCTTACTTCGCCTAGGGGATGCAAACAATGAGACCCCTCATGGCCTCACCACGTCTTTGAAATATTATTGTCCCTTCTTTGAACTCTAAGGTTTAATCCTCCAAACCAAAGGCTCCATTTGTCTGTCTGCTACTTATTACAAACCTCTACTCTATGGAAAACGCTTTTCAAACTCTCTAAATAACTTTATACATTAAATAATGGTGGATCCCTTTCCCTGTGTATCTCAAGTTTCCGTGCAATATAGACCTTTTCTATCTCCTTGTCATGGTCATTGGCAGAATGATTCATAAATTAAAGTCACAAGTATGTACTACAAAAAAAAAGTATGTACTACATGTCTTCACTAAAAAAGTAGAAAAGGCAAGTTGGGTTACTCAAGAGGACAAGTTTTCATTGCTGTCAATCTGTCATCTTACTACTAGGTATAATCTCACAGTTCATGCACCACATGTCATCGATATCGACAGGTAGCCACTTTAAACGTTGTTTGTGGCTGCTCTAAGATCTTCCTTGGACTGCTTAATGAGCCTCTGTCTGACTGCCTACATAATTAACATACTTTTTTTTTTATAACACATGAGTTACTCCTTCTATCAGGTTGACCTTTTAGAATGGAACCCCAGGTCTTAACATGGTGTTATATTCCTTGGATGAACAAAGTGCTATATTAACACATGGACTACTCCTCTTATCAGGTTGACCTTTTAGGATGGAACCTCAAGTCTTAACATTTAAAGCACCCTCCAAAGTTTCTCGACGTGTAAATTCTGATATGATCACAGTTAGCTTCACGCTCCAAAGGACGAATCCAACATGATTTATATCACGTGCTCCTTCCAAGCCGCTCCTTCCACCTCATGAACCTGGTACCTTCATTATCATCTTCTCCCTTCTCAGTCGTTGAACTACTACATGAAGGTAGGAAGAATCATGTGAAATAAGACCTCCCTCATCTCCCCTAAGTGAGAAACTGAGAATTGAACACAAAGGAGAGACTTGAAAGTGAATAGTCACCCATTGGGATTAACTTCTGTTGAGTTTAATCCAACACGATATAGTAAATATATGTATGAACACTCAGTTTTTACGTGGAAACCCGAAAGGGAGAAAATCACGGGACTTTTTAGGCTAATGTCCAAGCCCTCTCAATTCTCATTAGGACTCTCCTCACCATTACACAGTACAATTTGAGCTCCCATTAATGGAGTCTTGTAAGCTAACTAAGGAGGGAGAAGGAAGAAGGAAAAGCCTCCTTTACATGGAGGCTAAGCTCCGTATTTATAGGGGAGGGGAAGGGGAGGCTCTCCACCCTAATGGGCCGCATGGGCCGAAGTGGGCCTGGTGGTCAAAGTGGGCCGGATGGGCCAAAATGGGCCTAGCTGCTCGGGCTCCGTACTGGATAATGTCTTGGGCTCCTGAACAGTAATAGGCCAGGATAATATATCCCAACAACTTCTTTACCATAAACTTGCTTAGCGGCCCATCTAGAAGTAATATTTATTCGGTGCATAGCTATCAATGGATATAACATACTCCATATATTGCATCTAGGACATAGATATGTAGTCATTCCATAATTTCAATAAGAATGTTCATTGGCACAATTTGTTGCGTTAAATATTTGAATGAGTTATTGTTCCGATCCACTCAGAATAGTACGGGGTAATTATGCAGCTTAAATATCAATGGATATAACATACTCCCTACTTATGTTGCATCCTTATGCAGCTTAAATGGTTGGGGAAAATCTGGCATCAGGACAATTGGGGGGGTAATTAAGCACTCCTTAGTTCCCTAGTTTTATACCTGTTGCCAAATATGATTTGATTACTTCATAAATAAAAAAGAGAACAGAACATTGGGTTTATTCTAAGTTGTTCTTTAGCCAAAGTAGTAAATAAAAAAGATCCTAAAACAACAAAAACTATGAACACATACTCCGTAATATACATTGCCTTAATCCATAGAAACAAGGGAATTCTTCTTTTTATTCTTAGAATATCATAAAATAGAACTAAAACATACATTTGCAGATGGGGTGATAGTCCTGTAAGTGGTTTTACTTTGCTTCTTCATTAAGTAAAAACTACTCCGTATACATTCAGGGCGGATCACACTCCAAATCCTGGATCCGCCCCAAATGTAGTTTAGATATCTAGCGGTTGTGGTTGGCGATTCAAGATGGAGGTAGAGAAAGTTCTCGCGCTAAAACCTGCTACCTCACCGCTCAATGGCAGAATTGTAGTCGTTGGGCCGTGGTACTCCCGGCCACGGCCGGGAGTCACCGTTTTGGTAGTTGTTCTGTACTCATCGGCAGTCACCGTTTTGGTAGTTGTTCTGTACTCATCTCCTGCAACTCCCACCGCTTTCTCATTCCTACACCCCATAAGAATGCTTGACAACCTCTTTGCCTTCTTCTTCTTCATTGTTTCTCCAGATACCACATTTCCATAACAACAAATACTACCATTACTATCACTACTTCTCGCTGTTTTTGGTTCTTCGGAATCGGAGGCGACAGAGAAATCGACAGCGCTGGCTGTCACCACACTCCACTCGATGCTCGCTTCACTCGGAGCATATAAAGATGTTCTCGTCGAGATGTCGATGGGTAGAAACAGATTTGAATTCCCGCCAAGGAAGCTCTCTATCTCGAACAAATCTGAACTAGACTCGCTCCCGGTGTCGTCGTAATGATCATCAATCACTTCCCAGCTACTCACCATTCTTCCATCAAGAACATTCAAGCATTTCCGATCTTGCAGCTGGTTTTTCTGCTCTGGGTTATTGAGAACAGGGGAGTTCTTGATCTGAATATGATTCAAGTTGTCTCCTTTGCAGCTCCTTCTGCTTCTGAGTGGTGGGTTTTCAGCACTTGTACGACTATTACTACTAATGTCATCAATCTGTGTAGAGTTCTTGCCGTTACAAGAACAGTAGTTTCTGCCAATGGCAGCCAAGAAACTCTTTCCCCGCTGTTTCATGGAGTTTGCAGGTGGCTGGTGATTATGAAGATGATTGGTTCTTGGGGTTTTCTGCACTAAAAGATGGCTTCTGCTGTTCCAAGACTTCCAGCTAGGTTCAGACCGGACACTCGAGGTTCTTGGCTGACTTTTTGATGGATCCATCAATGTATGGTGATGATGATGATGGGATGATTGTGGAGTTGCACCTTTTCGAGAAATCCTAGGATGATGTTCTACCTGGTCAAAAGCTTCGTTGAAATACTTGTCTGCAGAAAAAACGTCTATTTCTCCATCTTCTGCTGCTTTACTTTTGTGGGTTCTGGTGCATGGTATGCTTTTATCAATATTTAGCTCAAAGCTCTCATCATCATCGTCGTCATCCAAGAAAGACGGAAAGGGGGCTGCTTTTGTGGTTATTTTGGGGGTTGGTTCTGAAGGTAGCACAACCAAAGCCATATTCTTCAATAATGTTGCTGTTATCTTATTTGAAAGAAAAAGAAAGAAGAAAGAAATGGATTCAATAAAGAAAGGATTGGTAGGTGACTTAATTTATGAGATCAGCTGAAGATTATATAGGATTTAGGAAGTTGTGATTAAACATAACTGGGTCCACATTTAAATTATAGCATGGGACTAGGATCTTACTATCTTAGTAACTTAATTGTTAACGTTTAGAAAGAAATGTCAAAACCAAGGATGTTTTTACTTGGACTGAAATTTGCGGGTCTGATATGGTCTATTCTGTTTAAGTTTGGTCTGTTTTGAACTGGTTTAGTCATATTTGGTAGACGTCTAGGCTCGAACTTTATAACTATGGAAATCCGATCTGATCTATTCTATTTAAGTCTAATGTGGTCTAGTCTGAGATTGAAAATAATCATAGTAAAAATATCATTAACCATTGATGTAATGATATGTATGGACTATGGACTAATATAGTCGGTAAGTCACACGGAGGTAAATTTTCAGATTTGGTATTTCCATATTTGATCCTAGACACTCCACAACGGAAAAGATCAAATCATCAAGGTCGGATAGAATGATAAAGGAGTAAATCATACATCTCAAACCATTTCAAAGTGTGATGATTCAAATCTTATACTTGTGAAACTTTCGTACTCCATCAAGATAGAATGTTACGAGAAACTCTGAAAAAGAATGTTACATTCACTAATGAGAAACGAAAACTTTTTGTTTTTTGACCAGATTAGAAACGAAACCTTAGAAAACGACTTCTCCATCTGTTGATTTTTTTATCAATGTAAAAGCAAACCCCATTTTGAGGGTAGCCTTGGATTTCATGGCGGCACCACATAAAAATGCAAAGTGATATCTTTACCTATTTTTTACCGCCTTTTTGTACATATGAATTGGTTTGGATAAGGACAATTAGTTTGGTCACCGACAAATTTTGCCTCAGGAAAAATCGAGCTCAAAACCTGAATGTTTAAAAGATACTCCCTCCGTCCTAGAAAATTCTTCCCAGTTTGACTTGGCACGGAGATTAAAAAAGTGGAATAAAGTAGAAATGTATGGTTATGTTTGTGTAAGAAAAAGGTGAAATGAATGTGAACCACACAAAAATGGTAAGTGAGAAGAATTTTTTGGGACTGCCCAAAAAAGAAAGTGAGAAGAATTTTATGGGACGGAGGGAGTAATTAATATTTATGCACAAATATTGTTTTTTGCACAACCCATCTTTTTTGTAGAGATTTCAAACTCGCATGGGTAGCTCAGTTGTTTGAGTGGTGAGAAAATTGGAACATTAATCAAGGATCGAAACCTTTACACGACCGCTGCGGGTTGTGATCGTTTCAATTTTCACACCACTCACACAACTAAGCTACTACCATTGTGCCGACTAAGTCAGTCTTACTTACAACCTTTCAAAAAGTCTTGCCGAGTCGAGGCGTAATGGCTTTTGAGGTAGGAGGATTCAACCTTTTGGTAGTCATGATTTTTGGCTACCAAAAGCGGTGTGAAATATTTTTGAAAACCTGTATAGAAGCTGGTACATCAAGTGCGCGTTTGGTAGCCATGATTTTTGGCTTTTCAGACTTATAAGTCATTTTTTTCACCAAACACGTAACTTTTGGCTTTACAAGCTCAATTGCGTAATAATAAAAAAAGTAAGGTTGGAGTTACTTTTCTGACTGTATTGGCTGAAGTTATCGTGGAGGGTCATTTTAGCTATTTTTCATATATTTTTTCTTTATTTTATTAATAAAATGTATTTTAATTTTTTTTTCACAAATCAACAGAATCAGCCAATACAGCCATATCAGCCAGAACTTCATAAATTTCAACAGAATCAGCCAATAGAGCTGATTCGGCTATTACCAAACGGGCTCCAAGTATTGTTGAAATATAATAGAGAAAAGGGGCAAATAAGGTTATGTACTAACCAAAAAAGGTCAAATAAGGCCTTATTTTTTAGGCTCTGTCCGGCCTTCGTCTGTTGGGGTGGTTCTCAGTGGAATTTTTTGATGAAATTTTTTTACCATCTTATTCATTAAGTCTAGTTTACTCATAGCAAATTTCAGCTAACAATTCAATCGGGAAGGCATTCAAATGAATTCTTGAAGATAACTGTGCTTTTAACTGCGCAGTTATATTCAAGAATTCATTTGAATGTCTTCCCGATTGAAGTTTTAACTGAAATTTGGTATGAGTAAACTAGACTTACTGAATAAGATGTTCAAAAAAATTCATCAAAAAATTCCACAGGGAACCACCCCAAATGGCGATGGCCGGACAGTGTCTCTTAAAAAGGATTTATTTGACTTTTTTTTTGTTAGCGCGTGACCTTATTTGCCCATTTTCTCGTTTGCTCCTTATTACATAGTTATCTAATAAGGAGTACTCCGTAGTTCTTATTACATAGTTATCTAATAAGGAGTACTCCGTAGTTATGTAGAGGGTTGTGTGATGACATGTCCCGATTTCCTAATTCTTGGTATAAGGTTATTAAGATCGTAATTTAAATGGTAAAATTGTAATGAATCCATCCGTGTCACATAAAAATGGGTAAAATCGCAAAAATCATAGTACAGCAATACAGAATTGTAAAAAATCACATAAAATCATAACAGAATCGTAAATAAAATAAATTATCAACTTTAGTGATGATACTCTTACTGAACATGTTTGGAAAAACCGAGACATTGAGGTTGAAGTAAATAATTGCAACCTCGATACAAATGATGTCCTTTATGAAAGTGACGAGTTATTGTGTTTCTACATGTGATTCTTTTGTTTATAACATGTTTGATACTTGTTGTTTACTTTATCAACTCTACGAGAATAGCATGTAAAGTTTGTTTCCCGTTATTAACTTCCTGCCTTCCTTTTTGGACCGTCCCAAAATCATCTTATCATTTTCCTAAATGAAAAGTTATCCTACATCAAAACAATGTCAAACAGTGCAAAACAGTGCCAAATAATGTCTAAACAGTGACAAACAGTGTCTAAACAGTGCCAAACAGTGTCTAAACAGTAAAGTCAAATTTATTTCCTAAATATGTGTGTAGGTCAAAGTAGGAAGTTAATAGCGGGATGGAGGGTGTAATAGTTTACGTATAGAATTAATTCACGATTAGTTCTACAAATGATCAAATTAAAGTATAGTACTCCGTATAACATAAAAATAAATATGCCAATTTAAGTTAAACATAAATTAACACTATATTTCTGAGTCTCTGACTTAAGAATAAAAAGTTCTTTACTCTAAAAAAAAGTTTTATCTATATAGTGGGTTTTAGAATATCATATTTTTAGTGCGAAGTAAACTACCTTACAAAATTTTGGATTCGCTTAAACAATAAAAAAAAGATCAGATTAGTATTAGCATTTATAAATACAGAATGGTGATGCATGGTACGAGTACCATGTACCAATTAGTACTAAATTGGAATCTTAGCTTATATATATCAGAAATTGAGAACAAAAAAATTATATGGAGCGGGTCCATATACCAACTTAGCTCGTGGCCTTAATTGTTAACAAAAGTTTAAGCAAATAATATGATTGGGTATTAGACTGTACTAAACAAAACTAACTAATAATTGTGATACAGCACTACACAATAAACATCACTAATTTACGACTTTGAATTTGTGATGCTCAACAAAACAACACCAAATGGCTATATACCAATTATTATAGTTGTGGTAGTGCTCTAAACAACACCCATTCATAAATGGGATTCTCATGTATATCCAAGTAATACAACTCATATAGCTACGGCTCCATGTATCCCATAATTACATTTATATTTTGCATATTAACTTTGATCGTTAATTATATAAATTATATTAATCAACAACACGGAAAAAGTACAGCCCAAAAAAATGCGGAAAATGTACTATGTATAGTGTAATACAGATATTAGCGAAATGTTAAAAACATCATTTATGACTACGTTTGAGAATATGAGCCGAAACTAAAGTTTATTGTCTTATATAGTTATATATGTAGAGCAAACTGTCGATCTGGAACTGGACAAACGTTGGAGAGATTGAAATTCTCGCTGGATGAAGTATGCTTGTTTGAATAATGGGGATCAAACTTCAACTCATTTGAAGTTGAAATGTTCATCCAAACATAACCTAAGTTAATTGTAAACTTAATTGTGTCAGGGAAGATATATTTGAAATCATATAGGGAGTATCATTTTAAGTTTCCTAAAGGAAAAATCGCACTTTTAGTCCCTGAAATAGTCACGAAAATGAAAAGTCGGACCCGTATTCCCAAATTTGTAAATGTGGTCCCTCAATCGTCCTTAATGCTGAAAAATTTGGTCCTTTGAGAGGTGAAATATACAATGTGGGCGAGAGTACATTTCACGCCTTAAAGGACCACATTTACAACAATTTGAACAATTGAGGGGTGACATTTACAATATTATAAATACAGATCCGACATTTCATTTTTGTGACTATTTCAGGGACTAAATATGTGATTTTCCCTTTCCTAAATGTCCTGATTCAACAGTATTTTCGTTATTACATACTCCGGACATCTTCCTAAAAAACAAGGCTCATTTAACGGAGACTTCCTTTAAAATGGAAAATTGTGAATTAAAGAAAGAAAACAATTTATATGTACATTCATTATATTATACGTACGGAGAATAAAATTGATTTGCATTTAGGAACATAATAGTTCATGTATCCTATAAGTTATTTTTGAGGTTACTGTGTCTAATGAGAAGTCTTGAGTTCAAAACCCGTTAGGCACATAGGGGATTGAAACTCAATGAAGTGAGTTCCAGCCCCTATTACTCCAGGCTCCCCTAGAGGAGTGTATTACTTACTAGTTAGCTTTACGCCGTATAATGATCATCCATCATAAATCATAATAGCATTGAACTACCTAATTGTGTCAATATAAATAATCCCAAATAGAACTTAATTAATCAAAAATGAACCCAAACCTTAGATCGATGCTAGATACTACGTATATATTGCATTGTAGCGCCATTAAGTCTCGTGCAGTGTTAACCACAACCCTTAAGACAATGTTTAACGTTAAAAAGGAAGAAATTTAAGTTCCTCAATCATAATTGTTATACACTAGTTAAATGATCAAAGAATATTGATAGCTAGATTATATGGGCTCCCACGACCCACA